CCAGGTGGTTGAGTATCAGAGTGTTCCATCTCACTTCCCTTTGGGGTTGCTGTAGGTGATCTGGAAGTCTGGTTCTGAGACTTATTTAAGTGTCTCCTCATTTCAACCTGGGGGGGTGGGGGGTGCTGTTGGTGCCTGCGTGACTCACTTCCTCTGACCTTGGAGAGGTGGGACAGTGGCTCAGAAGCCCCTTCCTCTGGGTGGGATGGATGGAGGCCTGGAAACCCCTCCTCTGGGCTAGGATTGATGGGACAGACAGTGGCCCGGAAGCCCCTTTCTCTGGGCTGGGAGTGGCAGGACAGATGGTGACCCAGAAGCCCCTTCCTCTGGGCCAGGAGCAGTGGGACAGTGGTTCAGAAGCCAAGAAGTTAGATTTTAAATTGTTGAATTTTGTTATTTATATTTTAGGTAAAATATAAAAAATTGTTCCTGTGCTTTTTTAAAAAAAAACAACAGAATGACATTAAATGGACAACTGAACTTTAGCTATGAATAATACTTGTATGTGTTTTTATATGTATAAATACAAAGTTATTTTGAAGTTATTGTAATTTATGGATTGTCTATAAGTGGAAAGACCACTCTCTTATTTTTATGATACTTATAACTGACCATTCAAATTGTACACTAGTTTCCCCATAAGAAAAATAGGAACAATCCTATTGGTAAACATTTGTAGGAAGACTTTGTGTTATCTGTTTTATTGCCACATAACACTGAACACGGCAAGGCCCTGCAGAAACATTCATTTAGAAATAGAGCAAATTTGGAGTTTATTGTAGTATTAGTGGCTTCGCCCAGGGATTTTAGAAATAAAACTCCAAAAAGCTTTGTGATTATTAGTAGTTGTGTTAGTTACTTTTCTCATTGCTAAGCAAAATACCTGACATCTAAAGTTAAAGCGGAAAGGGTTTATTTGGCTTCCAGTTTATAGAGGTTTCAGTCCATAATACGCTGGCTCCAAGGCAGGGTGGCAGAGGAACAACAGTTTATGGTGGTGGAAGACAGAAAAAGCAGCAAGAGGACTTAGTAGTGTCTTTCTACCCCTTTTATTTTATCCAGACTACTGGGATTCGGGTGGTGTCAAACCAATCAGTGGACTGACTTAATAATCACATATCCTTAATCTCAGTGTCACACACTCTAGATTCAGCCACCTTTGAAAAAGCCCTATGACCACATGAGACTTTGGGGAGACATCTAGACACAAACCATAGAAGTAGTATTATAGATAGCTGAGTTAGAAATGAATATGCACTTAGAGAGGGGTTGGACCCTCGAGGAAATCAGCACAGAAGATGAGACACACAAAGATTGTAGCTGGAGGCAAATTTGAAGAGAGCCAGGCCTCAAGATGAGACACAATAGCCAGGGCTGCGGGCCTCCTTAGAGATAAATAGCAAATTGAGATGATGCTGTAATTAGCACCACTTTGTCCAGTGAGCACTGACACCATCAGACTTAGAGGTTGGTGACCTGAACATCTGGACCCATCGCTTTCCAAGAATGCCTTTGTTCTTCCATGTACCCTTGCTACATGACTCCATTCCCTATTGGATCAACATCAGCTAAGCCACTAAGCATACTTGTGATCCTACAGGTTGATTGTAGTGTACGCATGTCATACGCATGTTGTAATTTTGCTGTATAAATTATCTCTGACAAAGAGCTTCCATGGCAGCTCACTTTGGGGACTCCTCCTATCTCTCAGTAGCTTTCACTCAGTAAATCTTTCCTACTCTTAACCTCTGTGATCCTCAAAATTCATTCTTCAATATCCAGGAGACACAAACTCACCATATCTGCTATCTAATGGGTTGGGATTTTTTTCCCATCACAGAATTTTCTCCTTAAATATAATTTTTAAAAATAAGAAGTCTGATCCCTGTTAAATATAATCTGGATTCTGCCGCCTGCCTGGGAACTGCAAGGTCCTGAGTTTGATCCCCAGTACCAATCAATCAATCAATCAATCTGGAATGGCAGAAGTATATATATGCAGTTTTGTTAGCTTTTTCTTTTTTTCCTGAGCAGAATTTACATGTATATGGTGAAATGAAAGGCAAATCTGAGAAAATTCTAGTCCTGTGAAAAATGTTTTACAAAAAAACTATATCATGTAAAACTTTTGTAGTTGTTATACTTTGGCCTAACCTTTATAGAAATTAATTCAATGACATATTTTTAATTCTGCAGGCTTATAAAAATTATTTGTCTTTTTTTCAAGGTCAAATAGTCATTGTTATTTTGAATAACAATGAATAAAATTGCAAATTGTAAGGATAACGTTGCACACAATTAAATTTTTGTCTTTGATATTCTCAGCCTTTTAGATTTTGTTCTTGCTTACCAGTAACTATTAACCTGCAGCTGAAACTTACTAAAGGCGTTAAAGTTGTGAATTTGAACAGGAATTGGAATTGAACAGTCCTGGGCTTGTATCCTGGTGTTTCTATTTACTACTTAGCATTTACTGGTAAATTCTTTAACCTCTCTGAATTGCTCTCAGATATAAATGATGATTAACAATACCTGTCTAGAATCACATAGGAAGATGAAATGAGATCACACTGCATGGAGCATTCTGAACACTGAATAAATGTTAGTTTCAGCCTTCACTGTCCTTGAGGGCCTGCCTTCTAGTGAGAGGCATTTGTCCACATGAATTGCGTTCTTGAATTTTCCTAGCACCTTCTTTTAAAAGCAATCCACTGCTGCGTTTACTAAACTACATAGCATTTACTCTATCAGTCAATAATAACCATTGACCTCTTTTAACAAAGAGCACTATCTGATAGATTAATTGATGTAAAGTACTTCAGTGCAACTTTTTCTTTTCACTAACAGATAATTGCTAGTGTCTACAGGTAGATTGTATATACAGAAAATTTCATTTAATTACAATACTGTTTAGGTGGGTTAGTCTGTAATTTGAAGCAACAGTTGACAGGATGCTGACAGGATATAGCAAAAGCTTGGAAATAGTTCACAGGTGGAAAACGTTGAAGTGGTGCACAGGTGGAAAAACAAGGTGAAGCAAGAAACAGGAATGTCATAGTTGCTGGTCAGAAGATAGATTTCAACGCACGTGCATTCAAAATTAGGAATGGAGGTGAAAATCCAGGGGCGAGAGCAGCAGAGGACAATGTGAGATCATCTTGCTGAGAAGGCTCAGAGAGGTTTAAAACCCCCACGGAAAAGAGGATTTTCTTTTTCTCTTCCCTGCCTCCTGCAATCTATGTTGTTTAACGCGCTGCCAATTTTTACGAGGGGAAAAACGCCTAACAACAGCTCCTAGGCGACTGGCGTGAACCTTCCTTTAAAACACATCGCGTCAATGTGTTTCAAAGACGTCTACACCCCAAAACCTTTACACAGCCTAACGTCACGTCAGGCCAAACGAAGGGGCCTTCTCGTGAAACTCAGCAACGTGTGTTCTCTATAAGCCATTTGTTTATCATTTCTTCAAAATTTATAACCAAGCGATATCCAAAAAAGAGTCGACACTTTCCAATGTTTTAAAGTTCACAGTGGCCAATTTTATCCTTACCTAGCCCTCCTTGCCCCGCCCGCATCCTTCTCCATCCCACTGAAAACGGCTCCTGCGACAGCCACAGTGGCCGGCCAATGGACACCTTCTCTCTCTCTCGCCATCCCGCCTTCCCCTTCCCCTGTGGCCAATAAAGAGAGCCACCTGGAGACAGCGACCAATAGGAGCCAGGGCAGAGGCGTCATTGGCTGTAACCACCCGCGCTGCTTTCTGGAGCTCCGCCTCCGTTGCCTGGGTTACCCAGGTCGCCGGCCCCCGCCCTGTTCTGGGCTCAAACTTCCAGAGTTGGCCTCTTGCGCGCCCGCCCGCTGCTCCTGCCTGAGACTTAAACTGGGTCCTGGAGGGCAGGCAAGGAGGCCGCCGGGCGCGGCGGGCTGGGGGTGGCTCGGGGTTGGGCCTGGGTGGGGGTTGGGGAGCCAGGCGGGGATGCCCCTGAGCCAGCGGGTGCGGTTACTGAAGGCCAAGGATGGAAAAATTAGGGATGGAAGGCAGTGGGGCGAGGGGAAGGAAGTCCTGGGGAGTCCAGAGCTGGGGCCCGGGGCAGGGTCGGAAGGAGGAGGGTGACCGCCCTTGAGGGTGGGCTGGGAAGTTGGAAGAGAGCTGGAAGAGAAGGTAGGAAACAGTGCAGGAAGATCTAGTTTATAGGGGGTGAAATTACTAAAAACAAAAGCCTAGAGTCCTGTGGAGACTCAAGGGAGGTTTTGGTAGCTTAGGAATAATTATGGGTTTATTATTATTAGACTGTGATTGTAGTGGAAAGGCTCTTCTGACCAGGCAGATTTTCTTGTTTTACACACCCCTCAGGGATGGATGTAAGGAATAAAGGAAGTTACCAAGAAATACGCTTTGTTGACATAAGTAAGCTGGAGCAAGTACACAGGTGCCTGTTTTTCATACTGAGTGAACCAGGGAAAAGTGTTTAACAGTGATTAAGATCACTGGTCCAGTTCACTTGAATTTAAATCCCTTTTGTTACTTTATGGCCCTGAACAAAGTATTAATATCGATTAGTAGCAAGTTACTAGTGCCATTTTTTAAAATAATATGGAAATAGTAGATGGGTTGTGTGAATTAAGTTTCTTGAAATATATCTATACGTAAGTAAATGAAAAATAATAGTTTCATTAAAGTGGATTTGGTTTGTGTGAGCTATTCCTTGGGCTGCACTGACTGGAACCTCCCACCCCACTCAAGTCTGAAGATTTGGGTTCCTCTCCCTAGGAAAGTACATTTGGTTCACATACATGTTTATGCCCATTGGATATCTTTGGGATCAAAAGTTATTTAAATGATTTTGAGGGGAGAGGCTACATACAATATGGAAAAAGGTAAACCCATACAGTTTTAGTCCTCTCTCACTTTGTGATTTGTTGCAGGTTGATTAGTATTGTTTATCCAAACACACAATAGCAAGTAATTTGTTTTGATTCAGGTTGGTAGTGTTCATTTTGAATATCAAACAGTACTTAGTGCTTTTGAAAAAGAGTTGTTTGTCACAGTCCTATCTTTTGTGTTAAGCCAAGAAACTGCTCTTTAAAACATAGTAGGAGCCCATTACAATAAAGATGCTGCTCTCTCTCCTGGTGTTTCTTTCTGTTGTCTATCTTCTGTGTGAGATTCGTTCTGCCCGCCATTTAATTAATGTGTCATCTCAATTCATTCTTCTGTCTTTTCACTCTGCCTTTCTTGGCTGAGTTCATCCTCTCTGTGGGGTTCAACCATCTACATTTTGTTAACACTCTGAAGTGTGTGTCTCTGTCCTGGAATTCTTGAGTTGGCATTAAACTTAGGCTAATTTTTGGCATTTCCACATGGATTTCCCAGTGGCATTCCAAACTTAGTATGTCTGAATGGATCAGCTTTCTCTGCCATACCAACTGAGGGTACCATATTCATCTGGTTTTGCAAGTTCAAATCTTTGGAATACATTCAGGTTCTTCTTTTCCTATACTCTGCATTTAATGTCACCAAGTCTATTTTATTTTACTTGATAAAACATTTCTAGAATCAGTTTGGTACTCTGTATCTCTAGTTACGCTGCCTCAAACATCTATCACATATCTATATTGCCTCCAATTCTCGGGTTGGAGATATATCTTTGTAAATGTCAGATCTGTTAATTTTTTTTTTACAAGGATCAAACTGGGGACCTTGCACTTTGGAGGCAGGCAGCGGCACCACTGAGCTAAATCCCCGGCCCTCAGGTCTGCTAATTTTAACCTTCTTAAAGAGGCTTGTTTCCAACCAATTTCTTAGTATGACATAAGGTTTTTCATGTAATTGTCTCTTCCACCTGACTCAGCCTTCCTTATTATTTTATCACTCTCCCCCAGCAATTGCACTCATTCCAAACCAGCACTGTCCATTGAAAATACAGTGTGAATTATATACATATCCTTTCAATAGGCACAAAAGAAAATGGATGAAATTAATTTAAAAATTTTTATTAACCCATTATATCTAAAAGTATTATTTCAACATATCAGTATAGAAAAGATTATTAAAGATATATTTTATTTACATTTATGTACTAAAATTTCAAATCCCACATATACTTTACACTTACAGAGTATGTCAGTTCTGACTACATTTCAAGTCCTCAGCAGCTCCTGTGTTGGACAACACAGTGGTAAGCTGTTTTGCAGTGTGCAGTTATGCCAGGCCTTTCTCACACCTTTACTTTTGCATATGCTGCTCTTTCTTTTTGAAACAAGGACCTCCCTCATCACCTGCTTTCTTTTACTAACCTCACTTACCACATTTCTTCCAAAACATGCACTCCTTCCCCCTCAAATTATACTTGTGTCTAAAATTATACTTGTTCTTAATATCTGAAGACTTAATTTAGGCATTATCCCCCTTGGAAACCTCCCTTTCTGTCCTCTTATCTTTGAGTTTATTTACCCTCTAAGAATGTTAGAAGTTGAAAGACAACCTCTTTTTTTTTATTATTGGTGCTTATACTCTGTTGTTTTATTTTTCTTGGCTGGAGGTTTCTGAATAGTAGAGGATCAGTGGGATCTTACTCTTTTTTGTTATTCCACCTCCATCTATATTTCAGTTCATAACAATAGGTGTTCAGCAAATGTCTTAGGAATGAATGAAGGTTCTGTGCCATTTTCCTTTGACTCACTCAACTTTAGGAATATTGTACTGCAGTTCAGATGCTTTCATTTTGCCACCTGCCCTGCAAGCGCAAGGACCTGAGTTTGATCCCTGGTACAAAAGAAAAAAGAAACAGAATTTGGGCTGGGGATTTAGCTCAGTGGTGCCATTGCCTGCCTCATAAGTGGAAGGTCCCGAGTTCGATCCCTGGTACCAAAAATAAAAAGATGCTTTCATTTGACCCCTTGTTTTGAATTTTTACTTGAAAGAAACTGATTATGCCTTAAATTTTAAGGCTAGCTTTTACTGTGATCTGACCTGTATATTTAAACTTATACTTAAAATCCAAACATAGTTTTTTCCCCCCATTAAGTTTATTGGTACATTTTAGGTATACATTATGATCACATTTCTCACTGGGAATTTGTACCTGTACATGATATATCTTGGCTCTTGTTTTTTCCCCATTCCCCTTCCTTCCCTTTCACCCGTCCACCCCTCCCTATTTACAAACTTTGTTTCTGTTTTTTCCTTCTTTTCTCATATTTTTTCCTTCCTTTCTTTCCTTTCTCCCATCTCCCTCCCTATTTCCCCTTCCCTTTTGGACCTTTTCTTCCCATTTTACTTTATCTCTTACACATTTTGGTCCTCATTTCAAACATAGTTTTTAAAATACAAAAGTTAACTTTTATTTTGAACAAACATAGTTTAAGTATGAGTAGGTGCTGAGCAAATAAATGTAGTAGGATAAGAAAATTGTTTAGAAATATTAGGGACATGGAAGTAGAGGAGTGAGAAAATTTTATTTGATTTTTTGGTTTCTTAATCACTTTTCCTTTGTAGAAGAAACAATTATAGTCTTAATGTAGCAATATAATTTTTACCTTTATTTCATCTTTAGATCCTTACTTTCCTTTAAGGAGAAGAGGCCTTATTTATATCTTTCTCAGTTTATTTTCATTTCACCTACTTCCTTACCTGTTATGTGAGCTTTTCTGCCAGCAGCACAGGTAGCCAGGCAGCGATGTTTTATACAAGAAAGCCCTGAGCACAGGGCTGCATAAGGAAGTAGACAGTTCTCTGATTGTATAGTTCTTTTGTTTGTTTGTGTGTGTTTTAAAACTAAAAGCTTTTCATGCCGGGGCTTTAGCTCAGTGGTTCTGCTGCCTACCTTGAAAGCGCAAGAACCTGAGTTCGATCCCTGTTACCAAAAAAGCCTTAGAGTCAGTGAACCAGACAATCAGTATGAGACAGTGGTCTCCTTCAGTTAAGATTTACTTTATGATTCATTTGAAACATTATAAAGGAGACATTCTAGCACTGAAGGAATTTATGGGAATTACAATAATCCCTTTTTTTAACCAGTTAGCTCTAACCTATAACTGTTTTGCTTTGCTGGTGTGTTTTTAAGAAGTTTATTTTGGGTTGAAAATGCCAAGTATTAGATTTGATCATTTTCAAGCAGCTGTACTAGCACTCTTGGCCACTTGGAAAAGAAATAGTTCCTAGGAGTTAAAATTGGGCAAGATTTATAATTTATAATTTATAATATATAATTTATAATTCTTTTTTTCTTTTAGCTAATTCTTTGATTATCATTGAGAGCTAATGAGATATATACCCCCCCCCACACACACACATCACTAGAGAATATAGATGAACACCTAATGCCTGCTTCATTCTTGGTCACAATGCATTAAATCAGCTGGAGGACCATACATGGAATGTAAATCTTCAGTATTCTGTTATCTAGATAACTATTTTTCTTTTAAGAGAAAGATTAATATCATTTAACAATAATGTTCATTCAGTAACATGGCTAGGTTATATTATTCAAATAGAAATTAATGATATGACCACAGGTGAAATTTATTTTGTCTGAAGCTCTATTAGGTTTTTAGTTATTTAAAACAAATGTAGAAAGTTGACTTTATTGATGGCATTTGCTCTGAGCAAAACCTTGATTTGATAACTTTTCCCTCTTAGGCATTTTAGAGATTGAAGTAAGTCTTATTATTTTGAGAGAGGAAGATTTAACATTCCCTTTAAAACAAAAAGATATTTTGTAAATTGAAACTGTTACTGTTATGTTTGGGAAAGCACTTTAGAATAATCATTCATTTCACTAATAATGAATAGTGCTGTCATTACCAGATGAACTAGACAAGATTTCTATTCTCATGGGTCTTACATTTAGTAAAAGGGGTAAGACATAAATATAAGATTTTTTTCAAATGGTAACAAGGTCTATGAAGACAGAGACTAAAAGGATAGCATGCCTGGGCTCACTTGAATAGAATTATAAGGGGAGCCATTTTGGGGAGGTGTGATTTGTGCTGACTGAGGACAGGAGGAACAGACGTTGCCACCTCTGTGAAGCTCTAGGGAGAGGGTGCAGCAAGTAAAAGTCTTGGCATCTTGGAAGCACAAAAGAAGGCCAGTTCACCAGAAAAAAAACAAAACAAAAAACAGATGAAAAGCATGGCATGAGACAAGGCTGTGGAAAGGAAGCAGAAGCGCTAGATCTTGTGCAGGTTTGCTAACTTAGGGAATTAAATGGTCTGGGGGGACTTTGAATCATGTTACAAAGGAAAGCAGTGCTCTCTGATCTCTGTTTCAAGTTGCTTTTTTGCTGAGTGAGGAACTGGCAGTGGGAAAGCAAGTGGGAAAGCAGGATACCAGGAGGCTACTGCAGAAGTCCAAGTGAGAACAAAATGGTGGCTCCTGCAGGAGCAGATGGTAAAAAATGGTCAGATCTGGAATATAGTTTGGAGATTAAACCGTCAGGATTTGTAGATGATTTGCATGTGGTATATGAGGGGAGAAGGAATCCAGGATGATCCTAGATTTGTGACATAACTAATTTAGTAGATGAAGGTGCCACTTAAGATCAGAAAGGTAGAAAAGAGTAGAAATAGGCCCCTTCCACCTGGGGTTCCTCTGAGGGTCGCCCCTGGTGGGCGGCTCTAGAATCTTGAAGAAGAGCTCGGGAACTCAGAAGGAACTCAGTCAGTGGAGGCCCGCACTGCGAGACCAGGAAGATGGAGGCATCGGAGCCTGTGGCGTCTGATTCTCAGTTCTCGAATATCTTAGCTGAACCATCAAAGCCTAATGGAAATATGGTTCATCGTTCTTCATCTCCGTATGTATTATATCCACCTGATAAACCTTTCCTTAATAGTGAACTACGACGCTCTCCAAATAAGCCTACACTTGCCTACCC